GACATTACTAGTTTGGGTATGCAGCTGTGCCGTTGAGCGAGGAGCATCGGAGCGTGTCTATAAAATTTGAATGTTGATTGCTCAAAAACACTTTTTGGGTTTCTCACAAATTTGGATATCTTTAAACTGGAAGTTTGGATTTCAGTAATTTTTTCACTTGTAATTTGTTAAGACTATCAGGCCCGTAGCCAGGTTCTTCCAAAGGGGGGGGGGGGTTTCTGGGCGTGAGGTCCACAGTCGAAGCCCCGGTGGGGTCGGCAAAACCCCCAAAGCAAGATGATTTTTGTGCTTTATAGGTCTAAATAATGCTATAAAAGCAGATATGTTTGAAAATGTATGTGTCTTACGTGGGAAATTTGAAGAGGAGGTTGTGCCAGAAAAAAGGGGGTTTGCTAGAAAAGGGGGTTCTCCCGAACCATAAAAACCCCCCCTGGATACGGGCCTGACTATACCTCTAAGGTAATACTGATTAATAATATTATATTATCTTAAAATCTGAATTTTCAATAAGTGACTGGTTTGGATTGACTGTGCCACATAGGCTATCATTATTGATCTGAAATTTTAAAAGGATGCAAATAAGAATATTCAATGTCTACAAATTTCACAGGAATTATGATATTGTAGGATCGCTATAGACTTACACACTGTGTGCCTTATTATAGTTCATCTAGTTGATTTTTTTCAGCCATGTTGAATATTGTGTACTGGAGAATTGAGCTGGGACACAAAACCCAATTAATATTTCAAAGAGACAAACCATAATTACAGTGAATGTTGGCATTATTTTTTTTATAGACCAGAGTGCCTGCTTATTTTTCTGTCATGCATGTTTGAGTACTTCAAGGTTTTTATCATGAGATAGTGAATCCTTTGTTTAGGTTTATTATAATGTATATTCCTTTGAAATTAATTCTGTATTCCCTTCATATTCTGCAAAATCGCTAGAAGTAAATTGCCTATTTAGTCTCATTTCATAATACAGTAGTGAGTGAAGATGTTTATTATTCTTAAAGATCT